GTCTGGAATCACATGTTCTGTGCTTTTCTTCTTTGTTTACACATTCTGTCTGCAAACTGGTTCCTCAGTGGCTGAACTTTTACCCTCAGTCCTTATGGTCAGCTTTGCTGAAATAACTCGATTTCCTGAAGTGGGAAGAAAAACACCCATTCCACCATTCTCTTCAGTATTTAATCCTCTCTATTTGTTTTCTTCTTTGCTAGTGCAAGTCTTAATACAAAAGCCATCAATAGAAAAATGCAGAGTGGATATTCCAAGGATTGCGGCTAGCTCAACAGGTAATCATTGACCAAGGTTTCTGTCTCAAAGAAACACACATAGGTCTACATTAATCATAAACTAGTTGGCCTATTATCTCAGACATTTTTTTTTAATTCTTACATCTTAACACATAATTCTTGTCTGTTTTGGGCATGTGGTTTGGTACCACAGGTATTCTCATCTGTGTCTTCTATGTCTGGGTGATGACTGCAGACTGAATTCTTTCCTCTTCCCAGAATTCTACTGTTCTCATTGCTCTGACTCTACTTCCTGCCTGATTGCCCCACCTCTACTTCCTGCCTGGCTACTGGCCAATCAGCACTTTATTAAACAAGTACAAGAAGCAAATCTTTACAGGGTAAAACCATTGTTCCACAGCAGGTAATTTTTCCAGCCTGACTTTCCCAAGAATAGCAGCTGACATTTGCTATTTGCCAGGGCTGCAAACTCTCACCCATGAAGACAGCACCATGGTCTTATGTTAGAAAATATTGCAGTATAGAAACGTATCAAGGTCTCATGACTGGTAGTTGATACTGCTGGGAACTTCTTTGAAACAATGTAACCTTGACACCTGAGATATTAATCACTTTGCCATGCTGCCTCCAATGCCATCACATCACACTAGACCAATAACTTTAAAAATATCCTAATAGAATATTTGTTTAAACAAATATGCTAATGTTAGCTCTGTCTAGTTGATTGATAGAAAAGAAAATGAATTCCTTGTTGTTTGCATTTCTTTTCATCATAACAATAATGTCTTCACAGCACGTTACTAAAAGTGTGTGTTAGCAAAACAACTACTGTATGTGCAGCAGGGTAAAAATTTATCCTGTCTGCTCCTCACTTCAGAGACTCCAGTTCAGCTAACGTGCCCCAATGACTGGATGCCACACCGAAATAAATGCCTACAGTTTTCTCAAGAGACCAGTGTTTGGAAGGACAGTCTATCTGACTGCACTAGAAAAGGAGCCATTTTGCTGCTCATTCAAGACCAAGAAGAACTGGTAAGTTGTGCTATAAAACAGAGTCGTTAACACATTTCTGAAGCTGTACCAACATCTCTAAACTTAACAGATCTTCCATGCAAGGGCAGTGGAGACTTTACATTATGGAAGCTCATAGTCTGAGAGACTAATGGGACATGAGAGCCAATAACTGCATATGTAAGGTGAGTGTCCTAGGATCGTAAATGCTGGGCACAGATTCCTCAAGGGAGGAAGAATGAACTGTGTGAGGACTCAGGACAGACACAGGTGACACTTGACCTAGGTGTCGGGAGACTGTCGAATATGAGTCACAGCACACAGGCTCAGGTTAAGTCCTCTCCTCTTCTTTGATTGTAGAGATTTGTAAAGAACTTTGCAAGGGAAAAAGGCAATTCATTTTGGATTGGACTAAGTTACTCCATGTCAGAGATGCACTGGAGATGGATAAACAGCTCGACTTTAAGTTCTGATGTGTGAGTATTGGAGGAGCTCACTCAAATATTCATTTCAGGTCATTTTACTGTAGGGCTCTAATAAGGATACCGAAAATTAAAGATGTTCAGAAGTGTTTGAAAATTTGATTCCAAAGGTGGCTTAAAATTTTCATGTATAAAAAGATTCTAGCCTTTTATAAGGTAAAGTGTGTATGTATATATACAATGGACTTCTAAGGCTAAGGACTAAACTAACATCTTAGGAGAGAAAATGCGTTTTTCATATGTTAAGTGTTTTTATAAACAACTTTTTCATTTTTATTGGTTTTTATTGAGCTCTCCTTTTTTCTCTGCTCCCCTCCCTTCCTCTTCCCTCTCCTGCAGACCTATCCCAAGGTCTGCATGCTCCCAATTTACTCAGAAGATCTTGTCTTTTTCTACTGCCTATTTAGATTAGATCTCTGTATGTCTCTCTTAGGGTTCTCATTTTTGTCTAGGTTCTCTGGGATTGTGATTTGTGAGGTGGTTTTCTTTGCTTTATATTTAAAAACAACTTATGAGTGAGTACATGTGATAATTGTCTTTCTGGGTCTGGGTTACTTCACTCAAAATGATGTTTTCTAGCTCCATCCATTTGCCTGCAAAATTCAAGATGTTATTTTTTTCTGCTGTGTAGGAAACAGAGTACCCTCAACAAAGAATTATAGAATTGCTGAAAGGCACTTAAATAAATGTTCAACATCCTTAGTCATCAAAGTAATGCAGATCAAAACAACTCTGAAATTCCATCTTACACCTGTAAGAATGCCCAAGATCAAAAACACTGATGACAGCTTATGCTGGAGAGGTTGTGGGGTAAAGGGAACATTCCTGCATTGCTGGTGGGAATGCAAGTTGGCATAGCCTTTTTGAATGTCAGTGTGGCAATATCTCAGAAAATTAGGAAACAACCTTCCTCAGGACCCAGTAATATCACTTTTGGGTATATATACAAAGGATGCTCAATCGTGTCACAAGGACATGTGCTCAAATATGTTCATAGCATCATTGTTTGCCATAGCCAGAACCTGGAAACAACCTAAATGCCCCTCAACCGAAGAATGGATAAGGAAAATATAGTACAGTTACCCAATGGAGAATGCCTTTTAAAATCCCTACTTAGAGCCTGTAGGCAGAAGGAATTTTTCTTTTGTCACTCTAATATTTCTTATATTTTTCAAAGAATTTCTTAAGTGGTCCTTTCCATGCTGTGGTGAAATGAGTCTTAGTGTGCAGTGATGCCAGTAGCTCAGGTCACAGCCAGCAGAGGAAGAGTGAGTAGGGAAGGGAAGGCAGTGTCAGCAGGGAGCTTTGTCAGCTGAGAGAAATGACCTCAATTCACAGGCTGCAGTGTAGCTTAGCTGAGTTGTGAAAGTTACAATTATTTGAGGAGCTGTGATGAAAACAGACTTCAGTCAAGATAAACAAGAAAGGAAAATCATTTTGGTTCACAGTTCAGGGGCCTCAAGTCCTCTTCATCTTGCTGCATTGCTGCTGGCCCTGTGGGACTGCAGAAATGTTGTATAAATTCAGGCAAAGTTGCTCACCTCAAGGTGGGCAGGATGGAGAGGAGATGGCAAACCCCGGTGTGGGATGAGGAGCAGAGATTTGTCCTTCAAAGGTTGCCCTATGTCTTTCTGGGAGGCCTCATTTTGTTTGGTGGGAACTCCTTGATGGAGTTAGTGCTCCCATAATCCAGTCACCTCTTAACACTGTGACAGCTATCCTTCACATCCTCTTGGGGTACTGAATATCAAAAGTATATTTGTGTGTGTTGTGGCTCACAAAGAAGCCATTAGCTCTTTGGTGTCTTCTCACTTTCTTATTGTTGAAATTATCAAGGTAACTCTGCAATGAGAGACCTGACATTTCAGAGCTAAACTGTAGATTTTAGCATAATTCATGAATTTTTGTATAATAAGAACAGAATATTTATTCACTTTATAAGCAAAATATGTAGGATTCAGTGAATTTCCTATATACTGCTTTCTATGAGGTTTGCAGAAGGGATATTGAGAGCTGTTTATCAATCTTGCTTGAATAAACAAACAAATCTTACAAGAAAATGTACTTCTTGTTATTCAGAACACATGAGATTGAAATGTAAAATGCTGATTTAGATTTACTTAAAATGTAATGAAAATTTGTTAAGTATAGAAATTGATAAACATAAAAGTTGTCATAGAGTAGAGAAATGTACGTAAAGTATATAGATTAAATTCAGCTGATCTGTAGTTTTACTCTGAGGGCAAAATGTCTCTGTGATTAGACTAAAGGGATTGAGAAGCCTGGAGGCTGCTGTGCTCAGTAGGAAGTGTCAGTCAAACAAGCCCCACCTTCGCTTTAACTCTCTGACCCTGGCTCCAGGTAAGGGGAAGGAAGAGAGTAACAGTTTCCCCCACAGGGTTATTTGGGGATTAATAAGAAATGTCAGAGAACTCTCCAGGAGTCCAGCAGGAGAAGGCCTGGGAGGCCTTAAAGGGATTGTGAAAGGAAGTCCTTGACTACACAGATCAGCCACAGGGAAATGATGCTGAGAACTGAAGACAGACTCTGAGGATGGAAGAATCCAAGGGAAATCATGGCTGGATTGCAGGCTGACCACTAGGATGGCATCAGATTCACATCTCGAGCTCAAGGTCTCCACTAAGAACTAAACAAACGAAGGACACCAGTGAGGAGCCCAGCTACTGTCAGATGCCACCTTCTTTTAAGACCTTTGAGTGTGCTTAGAACTCATCTCTGCCTTACAGTAAACCCTGATACTGTGTGTTAGTGCTTGGATTCTAGTAGTGTTCCTTCCAGCAGGGGGCCATGGGAGCCTTGCACATTTAAACTGAAAGACTTTGAGGCACCTTAGCATTACTGCACCCCTTTCCTGGGAACCAGGCACCTTAGCATTACTGCACCTCCCCTTCCTGGGAACCAGGCCCAGGCCCTTAGCATTACTGCACCCTCTTCCTGGGAACCAGGCACCTTAGCATTACTGCACCCCCCTTCCTGGGAACCAGGCCCTTAGCATTACTGCACCCCCCTTCCTGGGAACCAGGACCCTGGTAACCAACCACGCGTGCACTGGAGCTTTGAGTACTTTCCATCCCCATTGTAGTCTTTCTTCAATAGACCCGGACCCCGGAACTGGGGTGAAACGACCTGCAGGTGGTCCTCCTTGTAATCGCCATATCATTGATCAAGTAGAGTTAGCTGACCATTGAATGAACTAGTCAAAATAGTTGACAAATGATTTTTGGACTTTCCCTTTGATTCTGTACTAACCCCTCCCTGATTTTGTGGTTTTTCCTTTAAAAGAGCTTGTAATAGACAAAGCAGGTGTCGTTCTCCTCTCGAGGCTGAGGGACCTCTGCCGTGGCAGAATAAAAATTCCTCTTGCTATTGCATCAACCATGCTGAGAGTGTCTCTTGGGGTGACCTCCTCCTTGGTGGGGCTTTAGGGCCCAAAAAAACCATGTGTTAATCAAATACTGTCCCACCTAAGGGAGGAGAATGAAAGGAATCATGACTATGAGTCTCATGAACTGAGCCTCTTTCCCTCCCTGCATCCAGTTCTGTGATCTAGACCCTGTGAGCTCACTCTGTATACTGGATACATTTATTGAGCACCTACTGTGTGTAACTGTTGTCACTCATCATGTATATCATAATCCTTTCACAATCATTAGCTAGTTAACCTCATATGTATGTATATGTATGTGTGCATTATATACATGTACATATGTGTGTATATATGTGTGTGTACATGTACATATAACTCCATGTCTTTTGATAATAATCTATGGGGATTGATTTATTCATTTTTGTTTATGTAAATGAGTGTTTGCCTGGCTTGCATGCTTGTATGTGGACCACATGAATGCCTGTGTCCATGGAATCCAGAAGAGGGTACCAGATTTCTTGGTACTGGAGTTACAGATACTCTAAGCTGCCATGTGGGTGCTGGGAACTGAACTCAAGTTCTTTGCAAGAGCAGCCAGGACTCTCAAACCCTGAGCCAAATCTCCAGCTCCCAACCCTATATATTAAATAAAACTGACACTCAAAAAATATTCGGTTCTTTTGATGTGTTAGTTGTGGAATGAGGAGATTACATGATGTGATAGTAATGGAAGGAGTTCACATGACATGTTAGTAGTGGAATGATAAGATCACATGACATGTTAGTAGTGAATGATGAGATCACATGACATGTTAGTAGTGGAATGAAAATGTCACATGACATGTTAGGAGTGAAAAGAGGAGGTCACATGACATATTACTAGTGGAATGAAGAGGTCTCCATCCCTCAAACTGTCTCTGCTTTATGCATCATTATGAACATTGTTGCTGGAAGGTTTCTTTGCCAGTAAAGAAACAGCAGGTTTTAGAATAGCTCTGCCTTCAAAGTTTATAACATTATGTTTGTGCCTAGTACACTTAACAACTGTGCATTCTGCTGTTTCCTTTAAATTCCATAGGAGAGCAATGACAAGACATTTATGAGAAAATCCTAAACACTAAGAGTGGCTGTTCTCTTCCTCCTCAGACTGAACATCATAGGTGACTTTAAACTTAACAGCTGTGTCACTGTCTCAAAGGACAAAGTGGTTTCTGAGTACTGTGCTGCAGACAACAACTGGATCTGCCAGAAGGAAGCAAAATGAGTCCCTGAACCCAGGTGTAATGACTCCTGACTGGGAATCCCATCTCAATTACTCTACCACACAGATCTCTGCACTACCTCTGTCTGGGCCCAAACAGTGCACAGTTGGTGACACAAAGCATGGACTCTAAAGCCACTGTGACTCCTACAGATGCCTGTGTTCTGTTTCTTTGTTCTGAAGAGAGGATAGAGACACTGATGTGCCGTTTCAGAGAAGTGCTCTGTGGACAGAAGCCCAGACAGCTGAGGCGCACTGGGTTCCTATCCTGGAGTCTGTGACTCTCACTCTCTGTGTCTGAGGTCATCCTCAAATAGCACAGAAGACCATTTGCAAAATCATTGTTAAAAGCTCTTAATGTGGGGACTGATGGCACAGTGTGTTAACAGCACTGGGAAGGCTGAGTCAGGAGGATAGCCAGTTCAAGGCCAGACTGGGTGTGGTGGATTAAATGAGGAATGTCCTCCATAGCCTTTGGCATTTTATCACTTGGTCTCCAGTTGGTGGCATTGTTGGGGGAGGTTTAGGAGTGTGGCCCTGCTGGAGGAAGTGTCCCTGAAGGTGGCCTTTGAGAGTAAAAGCCTCAGATGTAACTTGGTCTGCCTCATGCTTTTGGTTCAGGATATGAGCTCTCAGCTCCCTATTCCAGGCACCATGGTTTATGCCTTCTTCCTACCCTTATGTACTTCTGGAACCAACAATAAACTCTTTCTACTGTAGGTCACCTTGGTCATGGTAATTTATCATAACAGCAGAAACATCACTAATACCCTGGGGAAGACAGAACAGAATGCTGGGAGGAAGAGGAAGTGAGCTCAGACTCGATATCTCTGCTCTCTGGAGCAGACACGATGAAGCTCCGACCCAGGATGGACAGTAGGCTAGAATCTTCCCGGTAAGCTCACCTTGGGGTGCTACACACATTATTAGAAATGGGCTAGTCCAGGTGCAAGAGTTAGCCGAGAAGAGGCTAGATATAATGGGCCAAGCAGTGATTAAAAGAATACAGTTTGTGTGTTGTTATTTCGGGGCTTAAGCTAGCCAGGTGGTTGGGAGCCGGGGCGGCAGGAACGCAGCCCGAAGCTCCCCACAACATTCCTACTCCTTGAAAGAGGAACCAAAAACCAGCAAACACTCCACTATGGCCTGGCTACTGGCAATATATTTTATTTACATATATGGTTGTTGATAATGGACATTGCCCTGTTCCTAAACTGGGTATCAACAGTGACTTTTCCAAGAGAATTATTTTTTTTTAAATAATAAAGCAGAGTGTGGAATGATTTGTCAACATTTGTGGGTAATCCACTGACAGAGCTGAACCCCAAGTTTGGCTGCACTGCTGTGCACTACCCCATTGAGCTACCGCCAGAGACAGATGCTGAAACCTTGCTAGTAGGCACATCCTTCATGGTAAAATAATGAAGATGGGTTAATTCTAGATGTAAGAGCTAGGTAACAATATGCTTAAGTAATATAAAAAGTAGTGATTTAATTAATACAGTTTCTGTATGGTTTTTTGGGGATCTGGGCAGCTGGGAAATGAACAAGTGGCCTCCTTGCAACAAATTAGTGCTCTAACATGGTCAACTATATCCACGTAAATCCTGAGAGAGCTTGGAAAGTAATTCTAGACACTAGAAAACAAAGTTTAGCCACATTTTTTCCATGAATGTGATTTGCTTACTGGCAGCATGCTGTGACTCATTTAAGAGAGGTCTTTCTGATTATCAGTAGCAGAAAAACAGCCATGTGGTTTTGAAACTGCAGCTTCCCTGCCATGGGCCATGCTGCTAGTATGAACTCTGACTCTTTCAGGATGCCAACATTTAAATGAGGTTTGGGAGCAGAGTACTATGATTTGCTTAATGGTAACATAGACCAGCTGTGTGCCTGAAAATGGGGCTGTGAGCATGGCTTGTGTTAAAAAGACCTCTGCCAAACCATGTCAGACTGGGCGGAGCAAGCTGGCAGGGCCATGTTTTACCTAGCAATGATGCCACTTAGGTTTTAAAGAAGCTCGTTGCATTTTAAGAAGCTGTCCTATTCAGAACAGGTACACAATAAAGACAAATTCAGATGAAAAAGACCACTAAATGGGTCACAGCGTTGAATAAATGTACATAGGCTTGGGAGAGAGAAGAAAACGAATATAGACAGTTATAAAAAGAAGTAAATGGGTTTTTTTTTTAAATAAAAGGTAAAATCTTTAAAGAGACAGAGTACAGTCAGTCATGGATTAAAAGAAGTAAAGAAAGAATAAGCCACGTAAAGATGGAATATCTGGATTTTGTATACTATTGTGTTTTATTTGAATTTTTTGACTGCAGAGAAACATTTGATACTCAGGTCTGCTAAGCCAAGCCAATATATATACTTTAAAGGTATCTTGATTTCAAAATATGGGTCTAAGGATTTGTTGCTTTGGAAAAGAGGTTCTTCTTTTGTTTCCACAGAGGATGAGAACCTGTGGAAACCTCCAGACTAATGTGGTTTAGTGGACCAAGCCCCCCAAAAGGCTGATTTGAGCGTCCCTCAAAAAATTACTTTGACCAATAAACAGCAGGAAGCAGTTTGCACAGGACTATGCCCATATTATCAAATATTGTCTATAAATGTTTCTTTATATTTAAATGGGGTTATACTATAGAGATTTGCATTGGTATTGATCTTGGTTTCTTGGTACAAATTTAAGATCGATTTTATGTATTTCTGCTCTTGATGAAGGTATTGTGTTTGTACTGCTCATTTCAAAATGTAATGTATAATTAATAAATATGGCTTAACAGATAATCATCTATAATAGTCAATCTTATAGTCATGTTAGTTAGATTTTCTAGATGTACAGAGATGTATTTCAGATGGATAGGCATTCTTCAAACCTTTCAAAGACTACAGAATATGGCGTTTAAAAGATTTTAATAGTTTAGGAATTTTTATGACAATGAGACACATCTCCTCCTGGAACCACCAATTAGTCTAAGAGGAAGATGGGCATCGAAGAGGCTCCTCATGGAGTTGGTTAGTCATTTTGGCACAAAACTGGTCTGTCCTGGATTGCTTGACACTATGCTATGTTAACTGGACATGCAGGAGCCACAGAGAGATGACTGCTGAACTTGCTTAAAGGTGAGATGGTACTGCAGGGTTCCTGCTTCATGAAAGAATCTGCTATACATTCTGCAGGACACAGAAAAAGGGGACTGACAACTGCCAATATAGGCAGAACTGTCTTTGAATTTTCCAGCTTCATGGAAAACTCTGCCAGGTACTATGGGTGTGTAGGCTAAATATGGAATGGATGCCCCAACAGTACATGAGAACTTTGGGTGACTGTCCAGGCAGTGAGAAGTTTCTGTTAATTCTAGAGTTTTGGAAGTTGCTTTCAATGAACTTCCTGTTTACTTAGGTAATATTATATCCTTCTGGAGTCTTTGATGGAATTGAAGAGTAGATAGTAATAATATAGTTTTTCTTAGTTATGATAAAAGATAAAGTAGATATAAATATGTAAGTGAAATTCTTGCTTGATACCTATTTTGTTATATGTCATTTTACTATGTTAAAGTTAAAACCTTCCTTTTTTTATTTAAACAGAAAAGGGGAGGTGATGTGGGATTCCCCTCTGTATGCTGTGAATACTATTGGTGAATAAAGAAACTGGATTGGCCTAATAGCATAGAACAGAGCTAGCCAGGGAAAACTAAATTGAATGCTGAGAGAAGGGAGGCAGAGGCAGAGGAGAAGCCATGGAGCCACTGCCAGAAACACATGTGCTGAAACCTTACCAGTAGCCCACAAGCCTTATGGTAAAATATAAAATAATAGGAATGGGTTGACTCTAGATGTAAGAGTTAGCTAACAATAGGCTTAATTAATTGGCCAAGCAGTAATTTAATTAATATAGTTTCTGTGTGGTTATATCGGGAATCTGGGCAGACAGGAAACAAACAAGTGGCCACCTTACTATACTAGTAGGTGTTCATGACCTCTAGACCAACATCCATGGAGCCTGCTTGGGAACAAGGCCCTTTGTATGTGGGTGACATTTGTATGACTTAGTCTGTTTATTGGGCCACTGGCAATGGGACGAAGATCTATCCCTGATGTATGAGCTGCCTTTTTGGAGTCAGTTCCCTATGGTGGGATGCCTTGCTCACCCTTGATGCAGCAGGAAGGAGCTTGATCCTGCCTCAACATGATTTATATTACTAGATAATTTTGTTTATTCATCATTTATCTGTCTTCTGTTGGTGCTTTCTCTGTGGTTCTGTCATCTGTGTAGAATATTTCTCCCTTTGCTTGTTGTTTTGGTTTAGTTTTAGTTTTGGTTTTCTTTTTTAATTATTACTTTATTAATACTAGGAATCAAAATTTCCACTTCCCCCCCCTCCCACTTCCCTCCTGCTCCCTCATGTGCCCATCCCCCTCCACCTCCAGTCCTAAGAGAGGGCAGGGTACCCTGCCCTGGGGGAAGTTCAAGGCCTTCCCCCCTCCATCCAGGCTTAGGAAGGTAAGCATACAAATAAACTAGGATCCCAAAAAGCCAGTACCTGCCATAGAGACAAATCCCAGTGCCATTATCTTTGGCTTCTCAGTCTGCCCCAATTGTCAGCCACATTCAGAAGGTCCAGTTTGATCCCATGGTCATTCAATCCCATTCCAGCTGACTTTGGTGAGCTCCCATTAGTTCAGGCACACTGTCTCAGTGGGTGGAACAACCCCTCGTGGTCCTGACTTCCTTGGTCATATTCTCCTTCCTTCTGTTCTTCAACTGGACCTTCGGAGCTCAGTTCAGCACTCCCATGTGGGTAGGTCTATGTCTCTATCTCCATCTGTCCCCGTCGAAGGTTCTATGGTGACATTCAAGATAGTCATCAGTCTGACTAAGGGACAAGGCCAGTTCAGGCACCCTCTCCTCCACTGCCCAGGGTCCTAGCTGGGGACATCCCTGTGGACATCTGGGAACCCCTTTAGAGTCAAGCCTCTAGCCAACGCCACAA